TTCAAAACAGCCTATGTTCTAAACTGCCCCCTCACCCCCAATGAGTTGCATACATCCATCTCAAAAAACCAGTAGGTAACCATAGCATCAGCCACCATAAAAACGTTTTTTATGACCTTGATGTGGAAAGCGCTATTTTATTGGCCGAGGAGGATAGGGACACGTGCGTGGCGAGTGGTCCACGGAAACAGGAGAACCCTTCGAAACAATGCGTTCGGAAAACGACTTTTTGACGTCGCGAGGTCCGCGGTCGGTCCCGTAGCGTCGGATGAGGCCGTAAATTTTCCGGGGCGACAAGTGGGGGCCATGTTGCCGATGTCGGTCGCGAGATAACACCACCGAACATGCCTCTTTATATTACTACCCAAAGGGACCGCCGCCGAATGATAAATACACTCCGTCTTCCGCGACTGCTTCGCTGAGGCACTTGCTTTCCCGTTCCCACGCGAGCTGGATTAGTCAATGCCGAAGTTTTTCGAACGATTGACGGTTTTAAACGCTTACGCGAGCCCGGGGCTCGACGCGGGGGCCACCTACGTAGAACGAATCGAAAAAGCATATCGGCACCCCATAGGACACATGATATAACCCACAAAATTACTGAAATTTAGTTAATACCGGCGTGGATTAAAGGATTTTAAAGGATTATAAAGAACGTAACTCACAACAACGCATAAAGTATTATTAACTTAAAAAATGTGTCGTACAAGACCTATGCAAAATTACTTGCTGTTTTTCTTTTATTTCAATTTCCATGGCGACGGTGTTTTGTTCTACGTAAATCTTAAAAGTTTTTTGTTATTAGCAACCCGGCTCGAGAAATAAAGCTTCACAATACGGCACAATCGAAAGTGAAGTTTGGACACAAACATTGTACAGGGTGGCCAATACAACGTAACCTTATCCCCGAATATACAGGATGTACAAAAAAAATCTTAAATCCAAAAGTCATCTGGTTTGAAACGAAGTTTTATTTTATTATATTTTTTCATATATATTTTTTCAGTGTTGCCTGGGTAAACAAAACTTAATTTTTTTAAAACTGAACATCTTGCATAGTATTACTCAAGTATCTAGGAAAACTTCATATATACTGTTCTACACCTATGTCTAATGGTTTTTGATATACTTAAGTTTTTATGTCAGTTGTAGACCCAAAGAAATTTTTTTAATTTGGGTTTAATACCTTGTTGACAAGAACCTACTTTAATAGAATTTTTATAATAATAATATATAATTGATTTTAAACGCCAACTTAAGAATAGACATAACAAAGCTTGAAACCCGCATCAAAATCGTCATATAAGAATATTAATTTGTCAATCCTTCAAAAACTAAACATTTTCAGCATAGACAACCTTATACAAACTTAACTTTATTTTTAATGGTAAATAAGTTAAAGTTATGAAATTTGGGGCTTTCAATAAAAAAAAAGATTTTTGGAAGTTTTCTTAATTTAGTATTTAATCAACAAGGTATTAAACGAAAATTAAAAAATAAACATTTATTTTTAGGAAAAACTGGTATTTTTCTTAGGGGCTGCAAAGGACATACTTGAAATAAAAACTCAACTATGTCAAAAACTCTTAGACGTAGGTATAGAACATTAAATATTTAATTTTCCTACACACTTGAGTAGAATCCAAAAATGCAATAAAATACAGGATGTTTCATTTAAAAAAATTAGGTTGTGTTTACCCAAGCAACACTGAGTGCCCTGTATATGCAATACTATATACTACAATACTAAAATAAATCTTCGTTTCAAACCAGGTGATTTCTGTATTTAAGATTTTTTCGTACACTCTTTGTATTCGAGATAAGGTATAGGTTTACGTTATAGTGGTCACCCCGTACACATGCATGATAAAAGGTCATTCATTATAAATGCCCCCCTCCCCCAAAACTTTTTCCTTCAGGTTTAAAAAAACATTTTAATACAAAAGTTGTAGAGTACAACTCAAGTGTTAGGTTTACGTATACAGGGGGATCCAAACAAAATTTTCATAATTTAGAAGGATGCTACTAGTTTTTCTTTAAAATTCTCCGGATTATTCCAAAACTTTTATGCAACGCGTATAGCATTTAAAGGGTTCTCCGAAAAATATGCTACAAATCTTACTAGATAAAATCTACTGATAATGTAAATATTATTCAGTATTTAAAAACATTTTTTGGAGAAAAGAAAAGAAAAAACAATGGTTTTCACAACGAACAGCAATTTTTAAAAATTGCTAATATTTATAACGTAATAAATATAAAACTATTCTGTATATAATGATATAACAATATAATAATTAAACGATATATATCTTCCCCACATTCATAATTCATCATCCTGGCTTGGAATGGTTTGCCTTTTCCTTCTTCTTAAGTATTTATTCCTCTGAATTGTTAAACAAATACGTTTAAATGCCTTTCTATAAACTACAAGCCTATTATTACGGCCATCACCGTGGATTTCGATATATTCGCGTCTTGTCGAAACTGTATTTTTGTTATATATATATATATATATATATATATATATATATATATATATATATATATATATATATATATATATATATATATATATATATATATATATATATATATATATATATATATATATATATGAATATTATGAATATTATGAATTTCAATTTTTTTATTTTTGGAAAACGCCATAATTAAACATTTTTTTCTGTCAAAATTTCTTAATTAAGATGCGTATACTGTCATTGTCATGGCCTAAAATGTTTTTTGGCATTTTCTGTCTTAAAAATCAAAAATAACCATACAAAAGTAAAAGTAGGACGGTTTTACATATAAAACTTCACACCTTCATGTTATAAGTGAAAATTGAAGCTTACGTTTACAAGCTAAAGACAAAAAATACTAGGAAATCAATCTACAAATCGTGTTTTTATCCGAAAAACCAAGTTTCGCCCTACAATCCTCGCCCTAGCCGTTCGCAAAAAAAGCACTTACCTGCCCCACGGCAATCCGTCATGCTACTGGGGTGGGGGGTAGGAATATTGCGGATCGCGTCGTAAAACCCTTTTCCCTCCAAGCGAGAAATTCCGAAAAGCAATAACCGTCAAACTGTCAACGGAGGTCCGGTTCGGCGGACCAATGGAGACGGCGGCGCACGCGGACCACGCCCCCTTCGTCGTCGCCGACCGTCAGAAATAAATAAAACAATTGAATTTACCAGCCCAACGGGCGACAGCCACGAAGGTCGACCTCTGCATTTATAGCGGAGCGAAATGCTTTGTAATTTTTCAACAGCGCCGCACGCTGGTGCAAAATATGGGAATAAAGGACAAAACGACTTGCCTTAAATGATCAAAGTATCAAGGGGTTGCCTTTATTTAATCTTAGATGGAAAAATCTATGCAAGAATTTGGCATACCGTATGGCGATACATAGAATTTTAATAGACAATTTGTAGTTGAAGGTATATTGAACAACCGCGCCTACGAATATATACGGGATGAGTGATGCAGGGTTTTTCAATACTTTAACCAAACTAAAAAATATGTTGGATTTTACTATACTTAAAGGTCCACTTTTTCACCTCTTTATAACACGTATTCATGAGTTTTGGGACATGGATCATACGAAACATCAGCGCAATTCCAGTTGTCAGCGAACCAAAGATTCACGGAGACGTTTTTTATCGACGGTTGAGTACATCCCAGTTTTTATATACATTTCCGAAAGACACACATCTAAGGTTACTATGAAAATTTATTCCGAGTTTTTTATATTATGAGACGGGGCACTTTTCCATATTGTAAATGTTTTTCTTTTGACTTGCTTTTGCTGTTTGCTTTTCCTGTAACTTTAATATTATATGGAAAGAATACATAAAAAAAACTAATTTTAAGAAATACTTTCTTTCATTTTACTAAAATTTGGAAAAAAGAAACCTATTTACCTAATCACTAGAGATAACAGATAGAAAGATTATAGATTATAAAGATTTAAAAAATCAGGTAAGTTGAACACTATTACCTCATAGATCTTTGTGTGTCCCAAGTTTTAAGGCCATGATGGGTAGATCACAAGTAACCTTTTTTCTATTTTATTCGGAGATGAGCAACGCCAGTAGCAATGGTTGGTCTTCTGACTTTCTTACTTCTGTACATTATCTTGGTTGATTATCTTCAACATTTATTTAGTTGAAACTCATCTACTGTTGTCGATAGAGATTATTATTACAATCACAAAGAATTTAGCAAGTTTTAAGTGGGTGAAATTGGTGAAGTAAGTGGTTTGAAGCTCGGTTTCAAGGTAACATTTATTTTTATTGATCTCGCCGTAGTAATTACTAAATATGATTCATACTTGCATAATGCAGTGATACTGCGAAATTCTGTTTAACTTCATGATTGATTTCATGGATTTTGTTGTATAAATAATTAAATTGAAATGATATTTGTATGACATGTTGTAAATTGTCCTGCTTGTGATTAGCCGCAATAAAAATATTCAAGCATCCTCTAGTTAGTATAATGTTGTTTCTAAAAAGAAAAATAATCTAAAACAAAATTTATACATGAAACTAGAGCCCTTCATTAAGAGGACCAAAGATTTGCAACTGCTGACGGGTGTAAAAGTTTATTTATAGATTAACCATAAAAAATCAGAGATTGTGGACAATGTATTAGGCAGCGTATTTCCCGGAAAGTCAGCAAGGCCCGAGAAATCCAGATCAAATGTTACAGTCTTGTACAATTAAACTATAACACGCGACTATATAATTATCATGCCTAAGATATAGATGTAATTTAAAGTCAATTGTAAAAGCAAGAAATACATGAGTTACGAAATTATTTGCGAACAGAAAAAAGATTATTCATTTATCTCAATAGCATTTATCCATTTCTGTCAAGGTTGCGAATTTCATGTAACTTCAGATCAACAAATATACGTATTATGCATTCGGTCTTGTCCAAAGACATGTGGGTCTTGGTTTAAAAGATGAAACAAAAAGTTTGTAAATAACTTACCTTACTCTGGGTGGCATAATCCAGAGCTAACATGCAGTCGTTGTAGCCATTTTCGGTCTTGATGGTGGTAGCCATGGGACCGCAGAGCTGACCCAGCTGCCCGCCCATGGAATCCCGGTACCACGGATACATGTTCATCTGAAAAAGAGTTAGCGGAGAGTGACGTAATATTCGAAAAAAATTAAATTTCGAAGAAGCATTTGAACTACTAGCCTATTAATCGGTTGACATACCGAATTCCTGTTCGTTTTTTTTTTCTTCAGGTTCAAAGTATAGCGTGTTCTATGCGGAACCGTTTTTCCTTGACTAGGAAAAGTAATCAGACTGCGTGCGTTTGAAGCCGTGTCGTCTGAAAATTTATTGCTCGCGAGGCAATTGCCGGTATCGGCCGACATTGTTATTGGCTGTTTTCGCAAAATCGCCATGTTAATTTGCGTCCGCGATAAACGTTTCGAACGTTAATGCGTTCGTTATCGTCGGTTTTTTTAGAAAGTCGGTCATAATCGGGACAGCGACGTCGTGTATATGCTGAAAATATGGACTACGTACGATAAAACCGCCGGCGTGTAGCCTTATTTATGAGCGATGCGCATGTGCTGGACAAGTTTCGATTCTTTTTTCTCCCACTGTGCGACAATTTTTTTCCTTATTGAACCATAGTTTACAATGTCAACTCGTTTTAAAAATTATCAGCACGTCATTTTTTTATCCAAGAAACATATAAATTTTCACCTTGCTCTTACAGAATAAAAGGAAGCTTACGAGAGCCAAATGGAGGCAGCAGATATTTTCTAATGAAAACAAAAACGAAGAGGACTTCTTCTGAGAATTTGGAGAAAATCCTAATTTGAACTTTGGTGTTCATCGAGAAAATAATTATATAAATATCATGCGGTTATGTTTACTTCCGATTTGGTTTAATATTTTATCATTAAATATATTTTATCATCTATTTTTATATTTTTGGTTATTACTTCGATATGCCGAACCTCCGTGGTCAGTCTGGAAATATGCCATATTAGCCCCCATGTCTAAAACACAATCCATACATACAGTGTTTTTATATTTTTGCCATTTTTTTCATTTTTGTAATTACTAACTAACTAACCAAAACTATAAAACCAAGAATTGTTATTGTGACGAGAACAGTCGATACTAGAATATTTCTGGAGATGTCTGAAGTGTGTCCCCGTACATCCAGGTTCGCACTATAACGGCCCGATAGCGGTGAATGAGATCAGATTTTTGACCTCGTGGTCGGCGCACCGCAAATAAACAAGGCGAAAAACGACCACGAAGGCCGAGGAGCGAAAATAAAAAATCGAAAACTACCTGACCCGTTCTCGGCTACTGATGTTCCTACTGCCGCTGTGATGATGATGATGACCACGGTGATGGGCACTCTATATTTTAATGTCGAATATTACGCGGTGGTGCCGCGATTCTCGCGGGAGAGAACAAACAGCACCACGAACAAACTGTTCTGTTCAAAAGATATGTAAATATATGTAAATAGAACTGAAAGAAACAACGAACTTTTCAACAAATATTATTAGTTCTGGAGTTATTTCCAATTTCCAATAAAATAAAATAACGCGTAACTCTTCAGCAAAAACTGCTTAGATTTTACGACCTCTTTTTTATATATACTTCTGTGTTAAGGCTGGTTTTGTATATCCCGAAAATATATTATTTTAGACAAAACTTGGAGGACAAAAATCAACAAAGATCTCGAAAATGTTATATGAATTAAAGATAAATACTAGCATAAACAAGAAAAGAAAAATCAACTCTCAAATCTCGGAAAGTGAAGAAGAAATATACACATTGAAGAGTTGCAGGAATACAATGAACAAATTAACACACATTAATAGAGGCAATGGCTGATGAAGTGAAAAACCAACAAATGAAATTGACCTGGTACTTTCTGTTGCATTCCTGGTCTATCAGACCTGACCTATAGGCTGAATGTAAATTTTTACTTGATGATAAAAGCACTAGATCTTGAAACTCGTTACCAATAGCATTAATAAATTCTAATGATTGTGGATGTGGATGGATTTGAAACGTTTCATTATGTTAATCTTTCAAAGAAACTTCGACAGGCCACCGCAATACTTTTTCCAAAACTTCTGGATTCCTCCAGCGTCGGTTTTTACTGAGTCGAACTTGCTGACGTTTTGGCCAATCATCCTGTTGACTTCTTCAGAGCTTGACTGAAACTGGCTCGTATTTTACTCAGTACCTGGTTACATATTGTTTGAGGAGGGCGGAGCTAAATGAGGGTCATAAACACCATCTCTCGGATTTTTCGTTGGAAGAAGAACTGATTACATTCAATAATACAATAATACGTACATGCATTTACATAACTAAAAGACAGCTCACATTTCAGATGCAACTGTTTACATTAAAAAAGCAATTGAAATTTAACGCATATTCAGTCCCATAGCATAGAGATCGACGAAACCTAACCAGAGGGCGGAGAATCCAGTGGAAATATTCTACTCGGAATAGGCAGCCAATTATACACGTTTGAAATTTCTTCATCTGCGAGATGAATGCAGCAGTTCATGAAACTGGCTACCAATGATATTAATAAACTCTAATGCCTGTCGATAGATTCGAAAAGTCTCAATAACTTATTTTTCTCTTCCACCCACTTACATTTACTTTTGCTTTGGAGCCACTGTTTATTTTGACATTTCAACAGAAGAAGAAAGAAATTAAGGTTAATAAAAAGACAAACTAACTCTTTGGGCGTTCTAAGCATCTTGATCAGTAGCTATGCATTAGCAGCCGACATGACCTAAGCAGAGAGTGGAGAATTACATATCTGAATGTCCCGAAGGTGTCAAGAGGTACGCAGACGGCTCAAAGATTTTGCCAGATTCTGAAGAGCAGCTACAAACATTAATGAGAATTCTAACAAGTTTAAGTACCAGAGTGGGATTGGAGATAAATACTTCAAAGACCCAAACACTTGTTTACAGTCAAAGCGCAGAAGGTCAGAGCATTACCCACATTTCCATCAACAGGAGCTATCCTTCAAATCTATCTAGACAGAGAATTAAATTCTCAGGTAAACGACTCAAAAGATATCAGGAGACGTTTTCAAGTCGTCAGAACAGAATTCATGAGTGTGCGCAAACTCCTCAGCTACCGAAAGATGGACTCCTAAACAAGAAGACAGAAAGAAGTTAAACACATTTCAAATGTGGCTCTGCTGAAAAATGTTACCAGCAAGCTGGATCAGTAAATATATCCGACGCAGAAATTCTAAGATGAACACTAGAGCATACCATCCAACCATCAAAATTAGGAAAATGACTTACCTCGAATATAATATTTACGAATACAATATTTAACTTATAATCGACTGTAACGTAGACGGCAGAAGTCATAATGACAGGGAAAAGAAATCGTCTTTAAGAAATATAGAGACTCACAACCCTCAAAACAGAGAATAATTTGTTATTCGCTTCGCATATATCATTTTCAGTTGGGCCTACGGTTGTGCAGAAAAGCAAAAACAATTTTTATACAATATATCAATTTCAAATTCATCGATCGCCTGTCCCGGTGATGTGCGCGGTACCTGCCCCACCCGTTTAAATGACGTCGGGCCCCCTCGGACAAATGGGACCGCGGTAGCGTGCATATACGCGATCATTATTGCGCCAGTTAGAACAAATTGAACTTACGGCAAATTACAGGCCTGCCGATGCTGTTGCAACTGTATAATGCGCGATTTAAAGCGTATACTTTGGGGCGCTTCCCAAGTCAAACAAGGACGGAGGAGGCATTATAACGAGGCGAATGAGAAAAAATGTTTTATCGGAATATACGTATAATAATGACGTTTGGTGCGAGCAGATCGATACGCATCGCCGAACGATTCGATGGAGATGATCAAACCCAAGGGATGCGATTTTGTTGTTTGGAGTGACTGGTATGGTATGAAGCGCTGTATCATTTAGAGCCATTAAAGAGCGGAGTACTCTAGATAATCACTTCAGTTCCAATTTTATTTGCCACACTTCCGAATTATTGAACCGATGTAAAATCAAACCACTGGCGTAAGTTGTAGAGCTCCAAATGTTCCCTTCCGTTTACTATTAGCTATTAGGAATATCACGAATTTTGTGGTCAAGGTATTTTGTATTCCTTCTCTCAATGGTCAAGGTTACTTCTTTACCTTTGTTTTTTTGAGAATCCGTCGGTATACAATTCGAATGTCTCCAGCTTTTCATTAGTCTTTCTGTCACTGTTGATTGATTGCTTGAATCCTTTTTGAAATGATGGTTGTTCCATGGTATATATGCTATTGAGCCCACGTATTGAATTAACTAACCGTTTATTATCAGCTGACTAGCATCCACATTGATTTAAATAGTGGTGTACCACCTCTGTGAAATCAGTGAAATCTGTTCGGTTGTTGAATTCAACAAACTTACTTGGCATTTTTAAGGTTAGCAGATCTAAGAGTAAGATCAGGTCGTAACAAATACTTTCTCTGCTTCTTTTCTATTTGGCTTAAATTGCATTTCTTTTATGGACACAAAAATTAATACGTGCACTTTTCAATGAAGAAAATTACCTAATTAAAATTGAAGAAAAAGAAAGCAGAAGAAACCAAATATAAAAAAAATCAAATATATTATATTAATATCTCTTTTCAAAATGTATGATACTGAGAATAACACTTTCCGATAAAAAAGGTTTTAAATTATGACGAAAAACAACAATTTTCCAAATAACCTAAAAATTATTTTTCAAAATCCAAATTAAAAATTATTTAGAAATCTGTGACATCTCTATTGAATTCGTGAAATCTGAATTCGGTGAAATCTTCGTGAAATCCGGTTAAAGAAATGGTTTTAACGAGTGGAATCTAACACGCTCTGTGAAATCGGTGAATTCTTTGTTATGTGAGAAATCCGCGAGATCTCAACGCATTCCTAAAATTTGATTAGATTTTCGAGCGATTTCCATTAAATAAAGCGTCTATCTAATTGATACAAAAATTAAAATAAATTTAATAACTATTTGTAGATTTGATTGCAGCCTAACCAATTTGGACAAATATCCATTCCAGGATATCCTCACAAACTATGATGAAGATTTAAGGTAGATGG